CCGACAGTAAGAACGCAAATTTTTACACCAAAATCTGAAAAATGAATTCAAATTTTGATTTAAGTAAATAAATTCCATACTAAAAAAAAAGGAAATCTCTAAACTCTTGACGCATCAACTGGTTGTTTATTATTACTATTTTTATTATCATTACGTTATTTTATAACTATCTCACTGTGTATCCGATAAGTATATTTCATTGAAGGTTATAGAAATTACTGAAAAATTGCAATAGGAAATTGAAGAAATGAAAAAAATTTTTTAGGCTTTAATTAATTTTTTTTTTTAAATATTCTAAAGCAATTAATAATACCTGTAGTTTATTATTATGTAAAGTAATGGTCTTTAGTTGTGGCATCACTTCGTTGAGTCGATCTCCAACTGATATTAAATGATTGTTATGGAGCAATAAGGTTGTTATTTTATTCGTTCGATACAGTTCATCACCTGTCAATCGCATCAGATAATTTCCGGAAAGATCCAAAAGCTGAAATTTAGGTAGTAAAAACAATAATTATTTATAGTGCTATATGAAATTTTCAGGAAAATTCGAGAAGTTCTATTAGATTTGAATTTCAGTAATTTACATTATTTCATAATGTTTGAGTTATATTCTAAGTTACAATTTTCTAATTTATTAAGTAGTGCGTATGGTCACATATATCATATTACTACAAATTAATTTTTAATTTCTTATTGACTAATAGGAAACCTGTAATGAAGGTAATGTATTGAATGCCAACGGTTGTATTTCACGTATTGATGAGTGATTAAGATGGAGGTACAGAAGACGTGTACGTCCCAGGAAATCATGACTTCGAACTACAGGAATCTCCATATGTTCCAGGTAAATATGTGTAGCATACATTGGTATATCCTAAAAATGAATTCCTCAATTAAAATAGTTTAGTTACTTTAGTTTATCAGGAGTTTCAAACATCAAATTAGATTAAGGAATGTAAAATCTTGGAACAAAGTTTAATTTATGCTAAGAAATTTTAGTCAATTCCTACCAAATACCATTTTTCTTCAATAAACTTTATTGGAGTAAACTTTTAGTATCTAAGTAAATTTTTACATCACGAATAATTATCATCCATACATTTTCTGATTTTAGAATTTTGAAACAAATGATCATATGTGAATCTAATTTAGTATTTTTTGATTGAAGTAAATTAATTATAATACAGTTTAGTTAATCATTACTTTTGGTGAGAAGTTCTTACGATCCTCTGGTTCCAATGCTAAGCATCGTACAATATTTGTAGAATATGTGGCATCATAATAACAGTGACAACCATCAGGACATTTCGATTTGCAATCACAGTTACCGTACTGACAACATATGCAGTTTGGCTCACAGACCTAAATTTAATAAAATATTTTGAAGATTTCAAAGTGATGTATTTAATTAATTATTGCTTGAAATTATTAAAATTCCCTCTTCCCCCCAATTTTTTCGTAATTTTTTAGTGTTGAAAATGTTTATTGGTAGTAACTACTTGTTTATAGTTGCATAGCAAATCATCCTTGCTAACTTCTGACAATAAAATTTGTCGATTATGAATTCGATGTAAACAAACAGCACGATTATCATCAACAATATCGATAAGAGATTTTTCCTAAAAAATATCTACGAAATTTATTTTACTTTTAAAATATAATTGATAAATTAAAAAATATGGTTATGCTAAGAAAAACGAATCCAAAAAAAGGGAAGCCATTTAGGAAGAAATCAATTTCACACAATAAATAAATAATTTCGAAGTAAATTATAAGTGATAAATTAAACAATTAAATTAATTTTGCTAGAAAAAAAATGATGAAACTTACATCTTTACTGTTACGAATCCAATCCATTTCACAGCTGCAATCTAACGGATTATCAGCAACAAATAGTTGTACCGGATGACCGGTTGTTAAAGTATCCACCATAAATGCTGCTATCTCTAAGGTGGATAATTGATTTCTTCGTAAATCCAAACTGTTAAGGAATTGTTTATTTCGAAAAGTACCATTACCAATTGTATGAATCAAATTATCGCTTAAATTTAGGTATTCCACTGTGTTCGGAATTTGCTCATCTGTTAAAGCCATAATACGATTTCGTTGTAACTGTAATGAAAATTGTTGAAATTTGAGGAATTCTTTTTTTCCAAATTTTAATGAAATTTAAATTTTTGAAAATTGTAGAAAAATGAGATGTTTCTTTTTTTTTTTTCATTTTCTTCAGTTAATTAATTTCATTTATTGATTAATTTAATAATATTACTTGTACATAACGTATCCTTGATCGTTGAGTACTACTCAATAGGTTAATTTGATTATTACTCATTTCAAGATGTGTCATCGTTGCCGGGAATTCATCCCATTGTAACAATTGAATCATATTGTAACTTGAATTAAGACGTTTAAGACTTTGCAATTGTTGAATTGCTCCATTAAAATTTGTTAAATAATTGCCAGATAGATCAAGTTGGCGTAGTTTGGGACATTTTGAAAATGCATCTTCAGCCAAATGATCAATTGTATTGAATGAAAGATCAAGTTCGATTAAACGAGGCATATCCGAGAAAATATACGAATCAATCTGTAATAAATTATAATGAATTTCAATTTTTCCAATTTAAAATTTGCTTTAAAAATTTATTTTCAATTTTTCATAATCATTTCTAACTTTCTCTTTTTCTTTTTTTATCAAAAAAAAGGAAAAATTATAGATTTTGTATAAAATAGACGTTTGAGATAAACTTATCATAAATTAATCAATCCTATCTGAGAAAGTGATCTCTGATAATGCAATCAAAAAGATAATTAGAATGATGGCTTTAATATGTTAATATACTGATAATAAAATATCATGTATAGCTGTCATTTATTATCTATTTCATGAGATCTTTCTTACTCGATTGCAATCTTCAATCTCATATCATTTATCATTTATCATACTTTTTTTTTTCGATCATTTTATTCATTCATTAAAATATTGCTACTAAACTAAAATAAGACAACAATATTTATTTCATTTATTTTAATTTCAAATTTTTGCTTTCTTTTAATTTCTCAGTGAAAAAAAAGAAAGGTAATAATTTTGGCGTCAATAAACTACATTAAAAGTTGTTGTTAATGGGAAAAATGAAACGAAAGAAGAGAATAATGATCGTATATATCATCATATCGTTGAATTGAACCGATCGTTTTCAAACGGTCGTTGTTAAATGATGAAAAAAAAACGGGGGTGACAGAATAGCAGCAAACAACTGGTAATATAAATGGATCTTCGTTTTCCTCATTGCGATCTATCAGGACAAAACAAAAAATAAAATGGTGGAAAAAACTTTTGATCGTGTGAAAAAAATCTTTTCATTCAAGTAGAAAAAAATGTTCATATATGAAACGGAGATATAAAAGAGAGAGAGAGAGAGAGGTGGAAGAAAAGAAGAAATTGATCAATTTGATTTTCAAATTGATAATTGATAAATTTGAAAATCAAATTGATCAATTAAATAGCAAAAGAAAAACAACAGATGGATTCTTCGTCATTTTTTTTCAACTAAAAAACAAAAAGAAAGATTTATTATATTTCGATTATCTTTTTTGGAAATTTAAATTTTCAATCATTTTAATATTGATTGAATGAAAAAGGTAAAAAATAAAAATTTACCGATGTAAGTTTATTTTTGCGAAAATTCAGCGTTTGCAAATGAGGCAGTTTGTTGAAAAGAAATTTGTAGGTTTTGCTGAAAATAGAATAGAAGTGAGATGATAATCGATCTTTTTAAGTATCCTAAATTTGAAGCAAAATTTTGGCAAAATTTAAATTATTGTTAAAATTATGAATTGTTGTTGTTTTCTCATTTCATTTCACTAAACTAATCATTCAATATTTTCTTAAAAATATAATTTGAATTATAGCATTAGTTGAAAATATACATTAGATTATAGCATTAGTTGAGAATAAATTAACTAATTAATTAACTTGATAATTATATGAATAATAATTAATAAAAAGGAATAACTAGTTAAAGAAATGTTCCATTTATGTTTTATTTCCTTCTATTTTTGCATTTACCTTAATTTTCACATTTCTTTTTTGTTGTTTTAATCTATTAGTTTTTTTCATATCATTTAAGATAAGCTAGCATTTAAAAATTATTTTAAAAATTTCAACATGTCAATCAATTAATGATAAGTAATTTATCATATTGTTTATATCCAAATCTTCCCTATTTTCGTATTTTATAAACCATTAGTTTTATTTGGTTTGATTTGGTTTGGTTTGATTTTAAAGGAAGACGAAGAGTTTGGTGCCATTCTGGGCTATCCATTGAAAATGATGAATGATCCATTCATCCCTTTACTTCGGATACATCACTTCGGATCCTTTCCGCCAATCACAAATAGCGCAAATTTAAGTCATTTTCACAAATTACACATTATATCACAACTTAATAACGTTTATTATAATCATTCACTAAATAATTACTTAGTGATTGCCTCCAGCCTTCTGTTCTCTCATCGGATTATCGCATTCCTTCTAGGAAATATGAACAGAAATGATTCAAGAGATCCCAATTAACACGAATATTCTCATTATATCGGGAGAAATTGAGAGTAGTAAAGAGTGATCCACTTAATTATATGTTATATAAAATAAGAAAGTATAATAATTTGTCAGCTTTGTCTTTTCTCTTAAATCGAACTTCTAAGATACTGTATATATTCATGAATAATTTTCGATGCATTAAAACAGACTACGGTATCTAAGGAATCATTTTTATAGATTGATACAAGCTTTTTAATAAACTTTGTTGGAAGTTAAAAGTCTGTAATTAAGAAGATCAAAAAATTAAAACTTACCTGACAGTTTAATTATAGAATAGAAATATGTCATTTGGAATTGGCAAATTATAAAATTTAGTAGGATGAAAAAAATTGTAATTCTAAAGTAAATAAGTGATGATAACTTAATGAATGAATGATTTAAACAAACCTAATTTGATTGTTGGATAAATCGAGATGATGAAGTTTGAATAAACGTCCCAATGCAAATGGTACTTCGATTAGTAAATTTTTACTGAGATATAATTCCTGTAGCTGTGGTGTTGCTTCAAATATACCCATATCCATTTGATAGATTGAATTATTTGATAGGTACAAATGGGTTAGACTTATTAAGCCTTGTAAATTATCTTCTTCAATTTCTGCTATTCGATTAGAGCCAAGGTCAAGCTGAAATCAATTTCAATGTTGATTAGTTAAATTAACTTTTTTTTTTCAGTTTCATTCTATATTATCATAATATATATATATATATATATATGGTATATGTATGAGTAATGAGAGAATTAATTGATAGTTATTATTCAAGCTAATAGCAACTTCTATTTAACTTATACATTATTTGTTTAATTTTAATTATCTTAATTTAAATTTAAGTACTATTTGTTTTGCTCAAATTCAATCATTCCTCAATTTCATATTTATTTTTAAATTTCGAATTTCTCTAATAATTCATTTTTGCGAAATTTATCACCAAACAGTTTCTTTGCTTGTTTGTTATGCTATTATTGACATTTAACTAAATAACTTATTCAAATTACTTTTACTATACTATTATTGACATTTAACTAAATAACTTATTCAAATTACTTTTAACTAAAATTGCTAAAAAGTTTTTGTGAAATTTTTTTTAACTGTAAAAGATTTCTCTTTCTGTTATTATTGAAAGCGTTTTTTCACCTGTTGAAAATATTTGAATCATTCTTATTAGATATATTTGAAATTTTTCAAGGTTGTTTTTTTTTTCGACTGTCAACAATTCTTCTCTGACAAATTTTATAAATAAAAATTTCGTTCTTTTCATTTCATTTTACACTCTACGAAAATTGTTATATAATTTGAAATTTTATTAGAGAAAAAAAAAGATTGAAATTCTTTTCCATTAAGCTTTTATTGATTTAGTTTTAGTTAGTAGATGAAATGGTATCAATTTGATGAATGGATGAATGAATATTATATGATATTATCGGAAAGTGTTGTAGTGGTAGTAGTAATAGTAGTAGTAGTAGTAGTAGTAGTAATATTCGATGTGATACATATCGACAATAAGGTGTGAATAATTGTTATAACATAATCTAACAATCTAACATTAATATATATATTATATATGTATATCTATATATATATATATTTAGTTGGAGAATAGTTAAAGAGAAGTGAGAATGAATAAAATTGTGGATGAAAGAAGTGAATAAATTATTAGGGGAAGTTTGATTAGATCATCATCGTGTCTCTATCATCCAGACATGTCTCGAATTCTTTGGTATTTATGATGTCCGCTTAAAAATGACCTTGGATATATGTGTACAATATAATAAATTCAATAACATACAATTGTTACATATTGTTACTATTTAATAAGTTAGAGAGAGAGAAGTGTTAATATTATCAATTATGTGAAAAATAATATACTAGAAAATAATATCATAGAATTATCATCACATTTATAGCAAAAAAAATATATATCTTTTGATTGTTATTTACAAATATTATATTTTAAAATGAAAAAGGATTTTGAAACAAAAGAATGGAATAGAATGAACAGTAAATAATTATTATTTAATCTTTTATATAATCCAAAATGATGATTTGTTACCGTATCAGATTATTATTTATTATTTTATATGAAATTCTCATGTAAACAACTTTGATTAGGTGTAATAATGTTGTATGAATGGTTAAAATATATTATTAAAATGGTACTACCATGTGAGAGATATCCCTTATTGAAGTACTTTTAATAATGTAATCTTAAGCTAAGTTCCGATCAATTTATAAGCCTCTTTTCTAGATTCATCATTCATCCATCTACCGGAAAGAGAAAGGTACTAATACAGATGTTGATAATCCTCTTTGTCTTATGTTTAAATGGGAATATTAAAATATTGGATATTGAAACGATACATTTTGAGATATGAATTAAATTAAGATATATCAATTATTGATTGATTTTAACTAATATTTATCACAATATTAGAGATCATCACCTTCAATATATATATATTTATTCCTATTACTCTTATTAGTATTTTATTCTTTCAGTTCTTTTGAATATATATATATATATATTTAATCTTATTTTCTCCCTTGCAATCATTATATCTTATAGTTATAATGATTATTATTATCTATGATATCTCTTAAAATTTCTTAATTTTACCAAATATATGCATAAGAGGGAAATGTAAAATATTAAACTGTAAATAAATTCATATAAGGGACCTTCGAGAAATGCTTGATATGGTTGGTAATCATAGCATTGATACAAGGAATATATAATTAATTAAATTAAATTAATAACTATATTATTTCAAAAATAGGTAAATATCTTTTAAGGTGTGAAAATGATTCATACTCAATGAAACAATTAAAGTATTTCGATAAAATTATTAAAATATATTGAAAAAAAATTGATGAAAAATTTTCTTTTCGATTACTAACTTTTATTGATTAATTAGTTTAAGTATAAATTATTTATTCATAAATCAATTACTTAATTTCAAATTTATAATCTTTGCTAAAAATACTTTAATGCTAATAAACTTTAAATATTAACGTTTTTAAGTGTGAGACAGTTATTCAATTCCTATTTTTATTTCCGATTAACAATAATTAATTCAATTCCTATTTGTATTTCCGATTAACAATAATTAATTCAATTCCTATTTTTATTTCCAATTAACAACAATTATTCAATTCTTTTTATTATTTCACATAATTTTCCTTTGTTTCTTTCTTTTCCTCTTCGTCTGAATTGTATGCAAAAAAGAGTTCAAAGCAAAAATAATAGGAAAAGAATTATTTATTAATTTGTATAATATAAATATATTTAAATATGATTGGTTTAGATTAGATTGATATTATCGACTTGTGTAAGCTAAGATATTCTATGATTGTAATTTTTGGCCAATGAAAATATATTGTCATTAAATAAACTAATTTAGTAATAGGAAAAAAACAAAAAGGAAATGTAAATAATAATAATTAACAACAAATATTATTGTTTAAATTATAATTCATTTAATTTAATTTTTTAATTTAGCAATGATAAATTGCAGAATAAAATGAATAAAAAAAATTGTTTATAAATTAATTTGCTTTTCAATTTTATCGATTTTTTTTTTGATTATTTAAGTATTCAATTATAAATATTAATTATTTGCTGCAAATTTTGGAACTCTTTTATTTCAATAATTATTTTTTCCAAAAATAATTTTAGTAATTAATTTGAATGATTTTATTTATTATACTTTAATTTATATTCGATTTCAAAATTGTTCAAAATAAATATTAAAATTTTTGAATATTTCATAGAGCGATGATTGTAATTAAATATCTTTGATCATCATTTAATTCTAAATTTAATTTCAAATTCAAATTTATAACGTTTTGCATGATTTTTGATCTTTTATTTAAAATAAATGAAAAAGCAAAGAATTATTTGGTAGGAGGGGGAGGGGGAGGGGGAACATATACATATACATTTAGCAGTACGAAAAAAGATTTTGCAGTTGTTTAGATTTGTAAATTGATTAATTGCGCGCCTATAACGGATCGGCGGCGGATAGTAATGGTCAGATGCTTTCGTGACAGATTTCTTTTCATTAATTTTTCTCTTTCTGAAGGGGGAAAAAAAAGCACAAGGTTAAATGAAGTTAGTTGTTTGATTTATTTTAAAATATTTCATTACTTATTTTAAAAAGCGATACATTGATTTTTGTTTACGAGGATAGAGATGAAGAGGAGGAAGAAGAAGAGAAAGAAGAAGAGAAAGATGGATAAGTTTCATTTTAAATTTCTTCTTTACGTTAAATGATTAAATTAAAAATTGGACGAAAAAAAAATAATTGAACTATTTTAATTAATCTTTTGTTTCTCTTCGAAGAATGAAATGAATGATTAATATAATGAATAATTAAACGAATAAATAATAATTTGTTAATTAAAAAACAAAAACAAAGAAAAGCATTAAACTTACTATTAGTAAATTTGTATAATTCTGAAAGAATAATGTTTCCAGTTGTGTGATCCGATTATAACTGAGTAAAAGATGCTTCAATTGTTGTGCACTATTTGTAAATAAATTTTGTGGGATAAATTCAAATCGATTTCGACTAAGATCAATAGTTTGCAACGTTGAACTTATAATAGGAAATGGTGTATTTGCATCAATACCATTTCCACTAATATTCAAAAATAATAAATTTGGCAAATTAGCTATTGTTGATGGAATAATACTTAGACGATTCCATGCGATATCCAAATGAATTAATGTTTCTGAAAAGTAAACAAATAAATTGATTTATTCATTTCAAATTAATTATTTTATTTCATTCAATGTAATGTTGTATTTAAACTTTTTCATATTTATTTACATATTAATCGTATTTATTTAACAATTAAATAAGTTATAAATTATTTAATTCTTATTTGTATATTTAGTTATTCTTTTGTTTACTACAATTTATTCTTTTTTGTTTACTTCTTAATTTTTTAATTAGATATACAAATGAGAATTAAATTATTGCAACTTTTACAGTTGCAACTTTTTCATCGGTTGTTAATTCATTTCTTATTTACAATCGTATTTTAATTGCATCTTTAAAATGAAATGATAGACATCGTATCTTTCAATGATCATTGATGAGGAGAAGATTTGAAAGTTTCATTCGAGGTCATTTGTCAAATATGTCACATTATCATAGCTTTTAAATTATTTTTAGTAATTAGCGATATGATTATTTTTAATCATATTTTATTCGTTACTTGATTTATCACTAAAAAGAAGAATAATAATGATATATATATATATATTCTATACCTGGCATAACGGGTAATTCTTCGATGCTATTATTTCCGACATGTAATTGTTGTAATAATGAGCAAGCTTTTAGTGCATTACGACTAATAACAGTAATTTGATTATTAGCTAATAAAAGTTGTCGTATAGCGACAAGTTGTATGAAATCATTGTCATCAATAGATCGAATATGATTATAGCTTAAATCGAAGATTATCAATTGTTCCGCTTTCTTGTTACATTTAAATATTGAGCCAGCGTTGTTATCAATGTTAACATCATCAGAGTTGGCACTTAAACGAGCAGTTTGTAACCAGTTATGTGAAACATTTACGACCTGTAAGGGAAGACGAATTGAAACGGTGAAAACTTTAATTCTGCTTTCTTTAATTTAAATAAAATAATAGGAAATTAATAAAATAGGTAAAATGAAATTTAAGCAATTTTAATTGGAAATTAAGTGTAAATTACTATTATTATTATTATTTAGTTGATTTTTTAAAACAAATAAACAAAATAAAAGGAATAAGTTAAGCGTAAATAAATAAATAAATAAATAAATAAGTAAACAAATAATAAATGAAACAAAGAAACGATTATATAAATAGTTAGCGTTAAATGTTTATAAAAGCATATTAATATTTTTATTGATATGCTTTTATAACTTAGCAAATATATTACAAAGAAAAAATGAAAAAAAGAGAAAGATAAATAAATTCGTTGATTTTCAAGTTTATCCGATATTCATTTGTTTACTTACTTTATTATTATTATTATTGTTACCTGAATATAAGGATTATCACAGATTAATGAATCAGGCAAAGTTTCCAAATTACAATTCACAATAGTGAGTTTTTCCAATCGTTTATTATTCCGGAAAAATTCATTCGGTAATATGAGCTTTTCATTTGCAACATTTAATTGATTAAAATATACTGATCGTAAATTGGTAAGTTGATGTAGTAGAGAATTGGGAAAAGTATTCGTCCGACATTTCTGAAACAAAAACATTTAATGATTAAATGAAATTTCTTTTTGAATCAATATTTATGACATAAAAGGAATTTTGATTGTTTTAAAGTTTCTTATCATTTAATTTATAATTATCATATTTATTTATCGATTCATTTGTATTCTTTCATTAATGAATTGATTAATTATTAAACTATTTGGTTCGTTTATTTATTCCTTTCATTTTTTTGTTTATTTATATTATATATAATTTATTTATTTGTATCATATACAATTTGTTTATTTATTTGTTTATTTATTGAAATTTGTTTATTCCTTCATTCCCTCCTTTTAATTTTTTCATTTAAAAGTTTTCCTTAATTTCATCTTTTTTCCATTTCATAATTTTTCTCGATAATCTTTCTTCTCTTTTGCATATTTTAAATGCTTTAAAGAAGTGAATGAATGAGAATTTTATGAAAGCAAGAAATGTGTTATATATAGTTAATCTGGGAAAAGAGAGAGAGAGAGAAAGAGAGAGAGAGAGAGAGGGAAATATATGTAATTAACCTGAGAAATAATTTTTCCTTCATTATAGATAATAATGAAATGGTATTTGGGAGACTTTATCATACCTCTTCTATAACTCTAACTAATTAACCTTTGGTCAGTTAAAGTAAAAAATGTGTAAAGTGGACAGGACAGGACAGGACACATCTTTCGAGGAGATTATAAATTTCCTCCTCTTCTTCTATTCTCATTTCCTACATGCTCTTCTTGCTTCATTAATTTCCGATTACATTGCAAAATAAATTTTTTGTTGGCAAAATATTTTCGTTAAGAGATGAGAGAATGAATGAATATTCACAAATTGTAAATGAAAGTGAAAAAAAGGAAGATGTAAATAAATAATATTAAATGAAAAAATAGTTTGAAAAGAAATAAGTAATTAAAAAGAAAGAAGAATTAGAAGAGATTTAGAGAAAATGAGTAAAAATAGAATTAAATGAAATATTTTCTGTTCAATAAAGATTTGGAACTTCAAGGGATTATTCATTTAATAATAATTAATAGTAATAATTAATAATAATAATTCAGTTTCTTATTTTTCTCTCTCTCTCTCCCTCTCTTACTCTCTCATTTTCTTTTCTATTTACTAATAAATGAATAATTTGCATAATTTAAATAATTTCAATCATTTTCTTCTTTGCTATAAAATATGCTTAATTTTGTGGAATTTTTTTTTCCGGAAATTTAAAATATTCATTTGCTATATTTCATGAGAAAATAAGCTGAGGGCTAATTGGATTAATGAATTTTGTATAATACATCCATATTAGGAGTGAAGAAATTTACGAATGATTTATAAATATATTTGAATGAATAAGGACTGGAAATAATTGTTAGAGGTTGGTTATATGTAAGACATATGAAGAGATATGGAATAGAAAGTTGGAAATTTTATTGATAATTGAGGATAACTAAAAGTTTAACGAAACAATGAAAATCCCTTTCGGTTAACTACAATAATAGATTTTTGATATCAGTTAGAATGGTTAAGTATAATTTAGTTTAATTAAATATAATTTATGAAATCATATATTTTCTTCTTTTTTAGAAAATAAGAGGAATAATTAAGAATAATCATTAAAATATAAAATTAAAGTAAATTTTACGATTATCATTAAATCATTATTTTTTGAATAATTTGAATTTCATTTTAAGTATTCGTACAACATTTTCTTTCCCCTTTAATTTCATTTATATTTGAACATATTTCGTATTTTCTTCAAAATTTAAAAGTTATCAAATATGCTAAATGAATATGATACATATAATATTCATTAAATGTAAAACCAATAAAATAATAATAACAATAATAATAATACTAATAAATAGAATCAATACCTGTATCCGTAAATTTTGTAAATTTTTAAATCCATGAAATAAATTTTCATCAAAAATGATCGATGTTATTGAGGATGAATCATCGTCGCATTCAATACTAAGAGTTTTTGTACTATTTAATGGAAATTGAGCGAATATTTGTTGTTTCCATTTATTGGTAGATGTTATTGTTGTTGATGACCATTTACAGCTTATAACAAAACGATCCGGTTCAGCTACATCCGGAATACAGGTGCATCTTGAAGATATAATAATTAATGAATTTAATATTTTAAGATTAATTAGCCTTTAATATTATCAAAGAATCGTTAATATTCGATTAATTACAACAATTGTAAAATTTTAAACAAAAAATTTTACTTTCTTTTATTTTCAAAAATTTGTTTACTTTTTTTTTCATTTGTTTATTTTTGTTTTATGAAATATTTTTGTTTTGTTTTTTTGTTTCACAACAGAAAAGTTTTAATTAAACCTTTTTGGACATTCGAAATGATTGGTTCTGATATTTACAACAGGCTGTACATAATAATACAATAGAATAAAGAGTATATAGAAATCCGTTATATTCATAATTAAGTAAATATATGTAGTAAATAAGTATATATAATAGTAATTAGTGAAGAGCTCGAGAAATGAACTCTTTCTTTAGGAATTTATTCCTTCACTTCGGCATTTTTCTTCCACTTTTGCAGGATGAAATAACTGCTCTGAAAATAAATAAATAAACAAAAATAAATTGCTTTTGTAAAGTAAGACGAAATTGCCATTTTGAACAAAAATAAGTAAACAATTAAAAAAAGAAAATAAACAAAAACTTAATAATTGATAATGAATAATTAGTAAGAATACTAATTGATATTATTTGATATGACATGATATGATATGAAATAAGAAGAATCAATAATTGTTATCAATTTTGTTATCGAATATGATAATATTAGTAGATTTTAATTGGATAACATAAAAAATGCTAAAAAAATTTTTTAGTAGAAAATAAGGGGAAAGTAAGAGATGAAAGAGCAATGATCCTTGAATATATA